TTTATTAGACCAACTAAGTAGTTGGAAAAACAACCCTGTCTCGGTACAAATCTTTTTAGTCCTGTCTTTTCACTTCTTTTCTTTTTCATCTCATTGCCTTTTTTCTCCTTTTTTAAAGGAATGACGTATTTTTGTGCATCATACATGAAGCATTGACATGTGAGGGACTAGGTGTAGGCTCCCGCGCACTCTTTAAACCAGGGCTGTGACATAACTGAAGAGTTTACTGGACAGGAGCTCGCTCCTTTAGGGGTGTTTCTAGTCCGGACTGCCCAGCTGGTAAAGTGACACTGGGAGCCAAATGTTCCCCTTGGATATATTGGGGTAAATCTGGATTAGCTCAGAAGTAGCTCAGGGCAAAATTTCTCCTCTTTCTTCCTCCCCCCCCAGTTGATTCACCAATTGTTTCCTAGCCTGATCTTGCTGTCTTTGCTTGGGCAAAACTCTAGCTAGCTTGATTGACAATTAGCTTTCTTTCTCCTTCCTGTGCTCAGTATTACTGGGAAAGTTCAAATGGACAGTGGAGGGGCACTCGGCATCTAGGAATGACTGTTGTGTGCTCTGGTTTTGTCATTTCTTTTCCCCTCCGTTGGCAACTAGTGTCTTACAGCTGATTTCTACTTTCTTCCCAGTTTCATTTAACGGGAAGTCAGGAAGTACTGTATGTGGCACTACGTCGTTAGGGGCTCATCTTGCAAATCCCTTTGCACATGAATAGTCCTCGCTCAATGGGACTTATTCATAAGTAATCCTTATGCAAGAAGGATTTACAAGGCAGAAGGTGAATCTGGAGACTAAATATTTAAAGTTGTTTAGGAGGATGAAGAGCCACTTTCTAAAGTGTCTGGTCTTTGTATGAAATAGTGAGATGAAACTTAAAAGAGGTGCACGAAAAGGGGGGGGAACCCCCAAAGGAGACAGTAGTGTGTTTCTTTTGCGGTATGATGCTGGTGTGTATTTGCAAGCTTATTTTTAGTCCCACTGTGGTCTTACTCTTTATGGTGTGACTTTCACTTTATCTCTTTTATTAATGCAATACCAGTTGGATGTCATTGCGACTCTGCCCGAGCTGCATGGGCTCCTGTGACAACAGCACTATTCCAGGCTGAAGCCTCATTGGAGAATAATAATAATAAAAATCAGAAAATAAAGATAGGTTTGTTGAAACGGTGCCTTTATTTAGCAAAATTCAGATCTTTTCCGAAGGGCAATGTTTTTTAGCCTCTTCCTGTAAAGTAATCTGTACTTGTGGCAGCTGTAAAGATCTGAAACTTTAGCACTTCCTGTTTCCTTTTTGAAACAAATTGTAGAAATCATTCTGTAAAACAGCACAGTTTGAGAGTGGGCAGGATAGCTGTAAAGCAAACAGATGTGTCACACAATCGTTTTATCTTGCCAGCCCACTAAGCGTGTGCTTCTTGGAAATAAAGGATTGGGTTCACGCACCCTTTAGCACACGGACATTAGGAAATGTCCAATGGCAATATGGGATGGGCACAACTGGCTTGGAAAACTTTCTCATCAGTCCCCCACATGCCTGCCAGTTAGAGGGATTTATAGAAACCCGGATGCTTTACTGTGAGAACTTGCAAGGTGCCTGGCTGTGCCACTAGTCAAGGGCAAACCAAGCAAAACCCGAACCCTGCCTTGAAGACGAGCGCGCGCCATGCACGCAGGCCGAGGCGCTCTGATGTTAAACACAATAGACAAGGTGATTATGCCGCACACTGTTGACTCTGCACGTTCATTATTGCTATTTAGCTGAGTTATTTAAGTGGGTACCTGGAGGTTAAATAAGCATAGCAGCAGGAAGAATTGCGGGCAAGGAGGAAAAGGGAAAGAGGAAATTAAATTGACTTGTAGTTTCTGGTGGGCCTAATCCTGCTTCTGTTGACTTTGCTGGAAGCAAGATTGGCCCGTGTTGGGAAAGCCCCATTGTAAAATGCCAGGACTTAAATGTGACAGGCCAGATCCTGCAATCTGTGCGTGGGTGAATTCCCAGGAGCGTCTGTTGGGTCGTTATACCGAGCGTCGCGGGGAGCTGTGCAGAGGGACTGCTGATTGCAGTAGGTGCTTTGCCCTGCAAAAGTTTTCTGGGACAGGTCTTCCCGCCTTCTTCTCTCTAAAGATGAACCGTATCTGGAGGGACCTTCAGCTGTTTCTTAAATCCTAGAATTAATATGCATAGTTACTTCCCCTCTTCCTCTTCACCCCGTCTCTCGTTATAGCCTAATTTGGAGTTACTTTTGCTTTCTCCTTGCTGTGCAGTCTCCTCCCATGCTGAGCCCCTTGATCCCTTATCCAGCTGGTTTATTTGTTTCTTGCCTTCCATGAGAGCTGATCTCTGTTAGCACCTTGGAGGAGGACTAGATCCACTCTTCTTTAGCCTGGTCCCAAATTTGGGGGCTCGGCATCGAATGCTGGCAGTGGCAGACTTGCTGCTGGCCGTGGGTCTGTTGGGAGAGCGGAGGCGAGCTCTGGGCCTCGGAGGGAGCTGGGCCAGCGAAGTCTGTGTCCTTTAGCTCAGTTTCTAGTCTTTGCATCCCACTTTCACTCAGTTCAGGGGCAAAGCGGAGAGCGGGGATGTAGCTCCACCCCTGCGGAGGCTGCACTAGAAATGGATGCTGGGCAGTTCAGCGTTTGACATCCTTTGTTTTACCAAAGTGGTGAAGATGCACTGGTGACTGCTCTGGGGATGGATGCACCCAAAGTAGAGCAATGCAAACAAAAGGAGCATGGATGTGGCAGCAGGATGATGCATCACACTCCTGATACAACTTATGGTATTATTGGCTCATCTTATAATGCATATTATTAATACAGCCATTAGCAGGAGCCAGCTCTTGTAATCTGCAATTCACGGTGGCTGTGTAGGGAAAACCCCTACTGACTTGGGGAGATAGTTTTGACTGCAAAGTTCCCACAGCTGGCAATCATTTCATTTTGTCATAAATTAAGACGTTCTAATTCTCTTTTCCTCCTTCATTATTGTCTGCCACACTCCATTTTCATTTTGCCTCTTTCCCTAAAAGACTTGTTTTCCCTTTACAGTGTCTTTTGTGCTAGTGATGTTTGGGGCACCTCCATGGCATGTAGCTTAGTTAAAAACAAACAAAAAAAAGTGAACAACCCAGCCTTTCAGTGCCAGCAAATTTACATTAAACTATAGGGCAATGCTTTTAAGTGTTGTAGCTCATACTGGTAGGTAGGGGTCGAATCTCTGATTCCTTTTAATGGATGCATTTCTAAAGGATCCTGTTGGTTTCAATAAGTAATGTTGCAGTAATCGAGCAGCAGGAGAGTGATGCTCTTTAATGGAAGGGACCTGCCTGGACCTCTCTCCTGATGCGTACGGGGTGGGGTTTACTAAGATGCGGAAAAGGAAGAAGGCATGAAGTTTTGAAACACTGAAGCCCTGAGAAGTTATTGCACAAGAACCCTCAAGCCCCAACAGACCTCAGAGCCATTATTTTAGGCAGGATGCACACCCAGCAGCAAAGACCAGCGCACATCCAAGGAGCTGGCCTTCTTGGTGGCCAGCACAGGAGGGGAAGGCGGCTTGCCCACAGTCGCCCCTCGGGTCAGTGGCAGAGCTGGGTGTGGACGGCAGCTCTTCGCCCCGCTCCTGGGCTGGTGCTCTAACCACGGAGCATGCTGCTGCGTTGGCATCTGTAAGGAACTTTCCCCTTGACCTCCTGGATCTTGGCCACATATAATGTGGGCTTTAGCTTCCCTAGTAGCTGTGTGGCTTTGAAGGGAGCTGTGCTGTCATGGACATTGCTCCTGCTCCTCATTTCCCTTCCCTGGGAGAGGACGGAGCAGGCTGGGGGGTGATGTGGCCTCGCCCATCGTACCTCCCTCAAGAAACAGCTCCATGCAAGGTAGCGATAAAACACCTCCATGCTTCTGGGAAGGCAGATTCATTTCTCCTTTTAAGACTTTGGGCGGCATTTTCCAGTGCATCTAAGTGACTTAGGAGCTTAAATAGACACCTGGGCACTTTGGAAGATTTTCTCCTTTCTTTTCACTTGCTTCGCTCCTAAGGGATCGGTTTAGAGGGCATGGTTAGCAATGTGCGTGCCGTGTTAGGATGACATTGGGATACGGTATTACCCTAGTTTAAATGTTTCTAGGGCAAAACAGTAGTGATATACCATCCCTCCTTGCTACCAGGCAGGAGCGCAGCTGCAATGCATCGCTATCAGTACTAATCAGATAGGAACACTTCACTGAATCAGATGCAAGTGGTTCCTGTTGGCCGAGTCTGCACGGTATGCCAGCCACTCGCTCAATGTCCTCCAACAGGATGGTGTTTCTGTGTAGGTTGCAAACATGCCCTCTGCCCTAGATGTGGTATCATTTCCAGTGCTTCTGCAAAAACAAGTATTTTTCTAAGAGTTGCTCGTTTGCTTTTTTCTTGTCCACTGCCCATGGTCTTTGCATCCAAAGGCTCCGATTCTCGTGTCACTTATACCGTGGTGAATCAGGAGTGACTGTGCTGAAGTCAATGGCACACCGTTGGCATGAGTGGAGAATCAGACCCAAACTCTTCCGGCTGCTAGTAGTAAAGTACACAGACCGTACAACATACATGCTTTGGAATTAAAAATACATGAACTGTTTCTTTTTTTTTTTTTTTTTTTTTATGAATAGGACTTGAAGGATGCTAACCTCTTTTGTTTTTTCGGTGCTATTAGGTTTATATTTTGTTCTGAATTGAAAAGAAAATTGTGGTTGTCTTGACTACTAAAAAAGCCCAGCCCACACACTTCTCAGGAGATGTGCATAATGTATTGGTTGAAATGGAGAGGAGGGAATCTAACTCTACTCGGCTCGTGTTGTTTTCCAACTACAAATCTTGTAGCAGTTTTTATGGCAACACAGTCTGTTTAAGCAAGCTTCTCAGCCAGCAACTAGACTTAAGCATTCTGTTATTGTGATGCATTTTATTTTCTCCAAACTCAATTTGGCGTGCAGCTAAAAATGTATTTTGTTTCTAGGCAATAGTATATGAAGGCCAAGACAAGAACCCAGAAATGTGCAGAGTTCTGCTCACGCATGAAATAATGTGCAGGTAAGAAGTACTCTGTTTCCAATTAATTAGCACAGAGAAGATGAATTTGTCTCTCAAAATCTAGGCTGAACCTGAAGCTATTTTAGGACTTAAATTTATCTTTCTTGCATTAAACACTCCCCCAAATAACACCGTTCTGTGCTTGTAATTAGCAGCAAAGTCTTGATCATCACAGAAGTTTTCAATTATTTATACAGATTTGTCTTTAACAGTATGCTGTGGGTTTGCATTTCGACACTGGAACATAAATGGGCCCAGAATGCGCGTCCTTGCCAAAAATGATAGAATAAACTGCAGTCTTCCTTGCTGTAGTTATCAGCCCTCACCTTAACCGGTGCAAAGGTCTGTTGATGGCACAGGTGGCTTTCATTTGGCTGGGGCCAGACAGGACATTTCTAGCTCGCTTTCCTTCCACTTCGACCCGGGCTTCCTTGCCTCCTGGCGCTGCTTCTCTGAGTTGCAGAGCTAGGCCCACATCCAAGTCTGCTGCCCCAGCTTTTAAAAGTCTTTTACCCTAATGTGTGTTTCTAGGGCCGGCCTTTAAATGTAGGAGAGCCAACTGGCACTACCTTCCTAATAGGTCCATTTTGCAGTTGGCATCTGCATCTCTCTATCCCAGCCAGTAGCCACATGTAGTCCCTTTGTTCTTCCTCCGTATTGCTGAGGAGATGTCACCTTCTCACACAGTCGTTAGTGCACGTAAAGGGCCCCGACCCCTCAATCCCATTGAAGGTAGTGGACCTTACTCACTCCTGGAAAATGCAGGTATGCAACTGCGATGCAGAAAAAAATCCTTCAATAGGACACAGTGACTTCTTGCATGAGCTGAGGGTCAGGATCGTTTTAAAAATCTGTTCATGCTGAACAGAGAGATTTCTGTGCTAAACTAATAGCAATCTGAGGCAAAACGTGAATGCCCGCTCCTGACTGGAATGGGGTGGAAGTGAGGGTGCACGTATGAAACCTCCAGGAACGATGCATGCCACAGGCTCTGCTGGGCAGTCTTGGCTTGTGGAGATGCACTGACATCAGTCCCCTGTCCTCCACCCCAGCTGTCTGGCGGTAGCACTCTGTGGGGAGTAGCGCCACGCACAACATGGAGGCAACACAACCTCCTTGCCTGGCAGTCGCCTGTTGGGAACGCCACGCATTAAACCCATACGGGATCCTCTGGCTTTTGAGTCCATCTGCACGTCTTGTTGCTGGTTTTGGCCCCTTAGTGTACAGGTCCTCTTTGCTCGTATTGCATGTTTTGAGGGTTGGTTTGTTTTCAAAATAAATTTTCGGGAATCGGCTACAATGTGAAAATAGTGAGAGCAATCTAAACCCTCTGGGAGGGACCTTGTACCTGTAGCTCCTCGTTGCAACTGGAGTTTTGCTTTAAGGCCTCCTGGCATGTCCTCATTAACGCAAGGAAGCAAAATCATGTCAGCTATCCAGCCTCACCCTCCAATACATTTCTCCGCTTTACACACAGGTCATTGCCAGCTAGTGAGCAAGTAGTGCAGACATGCAGCCCCTGACCTGCCAGTGTTTCCTACACGCTGTACTTTTCTCACCTAAAGGAGTTCAGTGACAACCGTGGGACCGGTCACTTACGGCGCAGACAGAAGTGACAGTTTTCACCTGGTTTGCCCACAGAAAGCAGTTTATAGCCATGACCAAACACAAGTGCATGGTTGCAGACTGCTTCAAAAATGGCCAATCGGGTGCAAATCTGACACCTCATTGCATGAAGACGTTTCAAAACAGAGCCTCTTGTGTAACTTCTGTCCGGGCTGCCTAGCATGTGTTTCATTGCACTCAAATGTTAGCAGTGTCGGGTCTAAATGTGCTCTTACTACTCATTGACACCCCAATACTTTTAAATTCCAGGCTTTTTGGATGGGGACTGTGCTCACCTGTCTGTCTTTCCAAGCACACAGCACAGTTTGGCTCCAGCTGGGGCTTTTAGACAGGGTGGCAAGACAAATAATAATTTCATATGAAGGACCTGATTCTACCACTATAACAACACCTTCCCCAGCCCCTTAACTTCATCTGGGGCAGCCACATCCCTGCTCTAAAACCACTAGCGTGCGGCTTCATTTCTGAATACCTAGTCCTAGCAGAAATCTCGCTCTGCTTTCCTGAGGAGGGTCAGAAACATATACTTGAATGCATTATGTTTCCCAGACCTACTTTAAAAAAATGGGTGCTTTATACAGGCCTGGATTTCTACCAACAAATATCTGCATCAAAGATTTACAACCATGTCAATATCCTTCGACCAAGATAAAATTATTCCATTCGTGCAACGCTGAAAGATGCGTTATGTCATTCAGAAGCAGCCTTTTTCTTTATTAATGCAGTTTATACTTTTCCGTTCTTAAAATTCATTGGATCAAGCTCTTTGTTATTCTTCGTCTCATATATCTTTACTGCTGGTTGTTCCTTTGCATGTTCTGAAAACACAAAGTAAAGGGGAAGGAGGAAAAAAAAAAATATCAGACCACGGCAGGCAAACATTGCTGGCCTGATAGAGAGAGAACAGATTTAAATGTCTTGCAGCTAATGTTAGAAATCACAATTTTCCTGGCTGCCTATAGATTTGTAAAGGGTGCTGTTTGTTTACCAGGCCGCTTGACCCTATTACACAAATCTGTCATCTATTGTGTTGCTAACACTCTTTTAAATTGCAAATCTGATGCTCTTTAGGGGTCTTGGAGAGAGAAAAATTCTCTCCACACCACTCTATTTCTCTTGATTTCTTGCCTGTTGTAAGTGGAAGTTGGGATGTGCTGAATTTGCACCGGGGGTGCAAATGCAGCCACAATTATAAGCATAAAATTAGAGTCTGTTCCCCATTAATCAGCCTAGCTAATTGCTATGCACTACCATTAGCCATATGGTGTGAAAGACAGCTTGCTCTCCCTAAGATGAAATTTCTTCATTTCAGACATGAAATAGTGAGGGCTCTGTGTTTTAAAATAGCTTGTTTTAGATATTTAATTTCTAAACAACTTTCAGCAGTGCTTTCTACCAAGGCTAACAGCACAATAAAACTTTGCATTTATGTGGCAAAAGCCGTATATTCCCCCCTTTCTGTAATCATGGCAGGCATCAGACAAAGCATTCAAATGTATAGAAGAGACCCTTGATTGTTGCAGAGAGGAGCGAGCGGGTTGCGTTTCAGGTACTTGCTTATTCCTAAGGATTTCACCCCTCTCGGAAGATGATAAAATAAGGCCATTTCTGTTGACTAAAATAGTAATGGTCAGGAAGAATTCGGTGCCTTGATGGGGTTTACTGTTATTGTTGTAATTGCAGGCAGTGGAGGAAGCTATGCCTATTGCCTATAGTCAATATTGCCCAATAATTTCCTTGACAAGATCTTCTTTTCACTGGCTTATATCTTTGCCAAGCTTGAACTAGACTAGCTGAAATCTCCCTGAGAAGGGGTTTGCCTCTGGGACAATATTTTGGGAAAGTTTTGGCTGAAATGACTTGGTCATTTCAGAGAATGAGGTTGCAAAGAAAATAACTTGTTTGCCTATGGGGGGAAAAAAATAATAATACAGCTGCTCTGCTGAGAAGCCGTGGTGCCTTTGTGCCTCGGAGAGAGGACAAAGAATTTGATGAGGCTCTGAAGTCGGGGAACGTGCCCTGTGCCCTCCCCGGGAAAACCTGCCTGCCCTGAGCCAAGCTGTTGTCTTTGGGAGAGTCTGTTGTATGCGCTGTACAAGTCCAGGAGCTAAAGGTTCATCCATCTCCTAGAAAAGGAGGGTTAAAGGGACCTCAGGAGGTCACATCTAGTCCAACCCCCTGCACCAAGCAGGACCAGCCCCAGCTACAGCATCCCAGCCAAGGCTTTGTCCAACCAGGTCTTCAAAACCTCCACTGATAGAGAGTGCACCCCTGCTCTGGGGAGCCTGTTCCAGTGCTGCACCACCCTCCTAGGGGGAGAGTTTTCCCAATATCCAACCTCAACTTCCCTTGCTGCAGCTTGAGCCCATTGCTCCTTGTCCTGTATCTGCCCCCACTGAGACCAGCCCAGCTCCATCCTCTTTGCAGCCCCCCTGCAGGGAGGTGAAGGCTGCTATTCAGTCCCCCTCAGTCTTCTCTTCTGCGGACTAAATCAGCCCATTTCCCTCAGCCTCTCCTCACCAGTCATGTCCCCCATCTTCACAACCACTTTCGTTGCCCTCGGTTGGACTTTCTCCAATGTGTCCACATCTTTTCTGCATTTGCGGCCCACAGCTGGACACAGGACTCCAGATGTGGCCTCCCCAGGGCTGAATAGAGGGGAAGAATCACTGCCCTCGATCTGCTGGCGATGCTCGTACCCATGCAGCCCAGGGTGCTGTTACCCTTCTTGGTGACAAGGGCATGCTACTGGCTCGCTGTTTTGCTCCCAAATGTTTGCTGTCAGATGAAGGGAAGCCCTTGTGTGCTAGCAGAGGCTTCATGCCTGCTCCTCCCAACATCCAGCCACTGTCACAGGGCCCCTAAGCCGGGCAAATGCAGGATGCGGTATTGGCTGGCAGCTCAAGCGAGGGAGCCCGCAGGTGGCCTTGGTAGGGAGAAGGATGGCCAGGCAAGGCACCAAGGACCACAGGCAGCTTAGCATGGGATGAACACAGGGAGAGCTAGGTGAGAAGGCACATCAGTGTCTGCTTTCTACCCCGTTCACCCATATTTTTCCACTTGGTTTTTGGAAGAAAAAGTTGTAAGGGAAGGGAAAATAGCATGCTGCCCTTTTTTTGTGTCACTTGGTGCATACATAAGCATGCTCATTAAAAGGGAAGGGGGGTTGCTTGCTTTTTTACCTTGGGCATATCAAGAACATCAAATCTTCCTTTCCCCGTTTGATCAGAGACTTTCCTGAGCGATTCGTAGAAGTGAATTAGGAGCTTTGTCAGCTCCTTGGCAGGGGAAGGGGGGCTGGATCCTTAGCATGGAGGATTTTTTTTTTCTCCCTAGTGTTAACTAGATTTTTAAAACTGAGGGTGTTTGAATTGGGCTGAAGAAAAACCATTTCCCATGCCATCTAATGAAGTTCTCAAATGCGAGGTTTCTGTGATGTCTTAATTTTTCCAGCTGTCTGTAGAATAAAAAAAGAACAGACAGAGCCCGCGTTTCTAATGACAAAACCAAGCAGGGAATGCATTTTTAAACATAAAACATTTCTGGCCTTCTTTCACTTGTATAAAGTAGTAAGAAAAAAAGGGTGGGGGTGGGGGGACGACGGCACAACAAAGACCAATTATTTTTCCTTCCCAGGTCACTTTTTGAATAATTCTACCCTCACTCCTAGTTGTAGGTGAATCACTTTTTGGGAAGTCCCATTCAAATTGATGGGTTTCAGTGAGTCATTCAGTGTTTCTGAAAGCGGAGCGTCCCTGCAGGAAAATGAAACCAAATCCATCCTGGCTTTTATCACCTCTCTGTGTTAAAAGCCACTCTAGACGTCTGCCCCTTGCCCTGCCTCTTCTCCCTTGTTCTGGGGCCTCTTCCAGCAGTGGAGCAAAGTGTTTGGCTGGATCGTGGCTCTTTGTTTCCCGTGGCTGGTGGCATGTGTCCCTGTAGGTCCTTTGGGCTGGCGACCTTCACCTGGCGGACTCGGGCTCTTGGGCTAGGTTTTGACCCCTCCCTACCTGGGCTCCAGGAACAGCTGCTCTGCAGCTAGGAGGTCCTCTTGCAATGTAAGGGGCTCCAAACTAGGGCAAGAACCGTATCTGAATCTGGCTCTGATTTGCTTCATTTGCAAGAAGAGCGCTGTCTCAACCCATGCCAGCTATGTTTCTAATTGCATTTCAATCACTAAAGAGTTTTCACAGGCGTTACAACTTTGTATGAGGGTAACTTTCTCACCCCAGCCATCCTAGCTGGATTCTGCTGAGTGCCCCTTTTATAGGCAAAGAAATGATGTCTCCAGGACCATTTATCCACTAGATTGGGATATGTGTTGTGAGCCCAGGCTTTGTTTTTTAATATTGCAGTATAAAATGAACCTTTTTGGCAATCGTAAACAACGTCACGTCTGCCGGATTGAAGACTCTGCAGGAAAGACTCTGCAGGTTTTGAACTTTTTGCAGTTTTCCTTTTTGCAATGAAAAGAATTTTCCCCTCCTTGAAAACAATCCTTTTACATCCTTTTTTAACAAAAAAAAAGCTAGGTTTAAACTGGCCATTTTATGCAAAAGGCTAAATTTGTATTGTTTCTAATGCGGCCAGTTGCTTTTATTGCTAATCTTGGCGTGTAAGTGTACACTAGTTACTCTATTGTTCTGCAGCACAAGAAAACCTTTGTCATATTCCCAGCAGAGCTATTTATATAGTGTGCAACTTCTAAGGATTTCTTCCTGTGTTGATGTTCTTCTACTTTCTGTAGGGGGGGAAATAAGTCCCTTTTAGATGGAATAAGAGTAGCAGTAATTCCTACCAGTTGCCTAACCCTAAATGTTGACATACAGAAGTTAACGTGGAGTTTCTTGGATCCTGTACAGAACAAAGCCAACAGTTGCAAAAAGGTTTCTTGTAGGCAGGGAGTCTTCTTCGTCCCAATGAAGAAGGACAGGACCTCGCTGAAGATGGGAGTGAGGGCACAACCCCTTCCAGATGCACACGTGGATGGGATTTTCTCAGCACATCCTGGCTTCTTTCTGGCAGGGAAGCTCCTGTAGCACTTCATCTGTAGGGGCTGGAGTGGGCATCCAGGGCTCGCATCCTTTCCATCTGGAGCTTTTTACAATAGTGGGCAAGGGGGGTTGCCAGGGTCCTTGGTGGGTACAAGTGCTGGGTTTTTTGGGTCAGGAAGCGGTTGTCCACTGGAGCAGATGGGCTGTGAGCCCAGGCAGGCACATCTCTTCACTTGCACAAATAATTTCTTTGGGTCAAATGGGACCATTTAAAAGAGCGAAGTTCCTGGGGTTCGGTCCTGGGTGGGTCTCTAACGGGCTGTGCTGCGGATGATTTCTGGCCAAAATGGAAACATGTACGGCGTGCGATACGGCGTGTAATATTTTAATGAGTCAGGCAGTTAATGGACAATAAGGTCTGACAAGAAATCATCGCCACAAACACCACTTTGGAAACAATGACCCATCCTAGTTCAAAGGAATACAAGCCTCAAGGTCAGGAGTGGAACAGCGCTTTTGGCAGAGGGAGCTTACATTTCACATGCATGCTTTGTATCTGACTTAATACAGGACACCAGCCATCAGCGCAGGCTTCCCATAGTATTTGCCATCATTAAAATTCTCAGAAACCTTCGGGAAGTGGACGCGCTTGAGCATAAAACCACAGGGCTTTTGTTTTAGCTGCCCCGCTAGGAACAGCCTTGTTAAAAGGGAAAAATATTGTACTTTAAAGATTTCTGGGGCAGGTTTCCTGGCATTTGGGAATCCTGCTGGATGTGGAAACCGATATAATGATATAAACAGATGTGTTAAACTGCTGCTTGTTGGGGGGAAAAAATAGCCCGCTTTTATCCTGTGCGTGTGCCGGGGGTAAGCTGGGGCTCCCCGGAAAGGGGACCGGAGGCAGAGCCACATCGTTTTGAGCGCTCCCCGAGCTGTCATTCTCCAAAGGGGGCAAAGCCCCTTTTGTTTTATATTTTCCGTTGCTAACCAGCTGTGCAAGAAGTTAAACATGGTAATTAACCCATATGTGACCTGCTGAATTTGACTGATTTCCAGACGGGGACAGAACGGTAACTCTACCCGGCAATTTGAACCTCCCGGGTTCGTAATGATGATTTTACAGTGTAATGGTTGCACTAAATCCTTTCACTTTTGCTCTGCAGCCGCTGTTGTGACAAGAAAAGCTGTGGCAACAGAAATGAGACTCCATCAGATCCAGTGATAATTGACAGGTAAGGACCGCTATTGTTTCCTTCATTTTTAAAAATTTTGTATTTCATTTTATTATTATTGTTGTTATTATGCTTTTACTCCTCATTATAATGAAACACCTGCCCTGTGTCGTTAATGGGGAAGGGGTTATGTGGGTATATGGATGAAATTTTGTTGTTGATACCGAATTAGTTGTGCTTTGTGATGGTGATTCCCATGGCAGGGCCAGATGGGGTAGGACTGTGAGACCTGCTCGCAGGAATGCTCCAGCCCTCGTCTCTGATTCATGTTCAGAAAGAGGAGATTTTTCTTTCTGACTTTCTGTGGCTCGATTCACATGCTGTGCCAGGGAAGCTTCAGGAATAAAATAATAATAGTTTGTGATTTATGAAATGTGGTTGGGTGCTTATAAATATTTAACTTTTATTTGAAAAATGTTTGAATCATTATCACTTTTAGCTACAGTAGTTCTGTTGGATGCAATCCATCTACATTTTAAGGCTTTTTTTTATTTATGTATAAAAACAGTTTAAAAAAAAAAAGAAGATCTGTGAACTAAGATTCCCCCCCCCCCCCCCCCCCAGTTATTTTCAGTGGTGGAAGTGCTGTTTGGACTGCATTGTCAGTGGGTGAATTCATTTTGCCTGTCTTAATTGTTGTGTTTTTAAACAGATCCCTAGGACTAATCTGACATGACCAAGTAAATCACTGCAGCACGATAAATCTATTTTAGTTGTTCTGTGCCGTTTGCAGTTTGTGCTGGTAAATTATGCCAAATTGTTGCCCAACAGTCGTTTTTACATTTTAATTCTTGAAATTCATTGTACAGAAACATATATGATAATCAGTTTATTATCTAGCATTGCTCCACGGGAGTTAAACAGCTAGGAAGGGCTGAAGCTGTCTGTCATCAGGGGAAGCAATGGCACGCGCTAGTCTGGGACCCCGGGGCCCTGGAGGAGCACGCGCTCCCCTCGTCTTCCTGCTGGAGTTAGCCCTCACTATATTAAGTTCAAAGTACCTGATGTGCTGGAGTGACCATTTTTATGAGAGAAGGGGAAGGGTGTCTGATCTGTTCAGCGCCACGTCACAGCAGAATGACCGACCAGAGGGCATGTCCCCGAGATCCCAATTGTCCCTGTGCTTATGCAGCCGTTCAGATTTATAGCTCTTGTTTGGACGTGTTCGGAAAGTGCATCTTTTGGAAGCTCCCGGCAGATGTTGGGATTAGTTGCAAGAAGGGATGTTTCTCTCTCAGAAGATGTGTTTTACCCGTGCATATTTTCCTCCTCTTCTCGCATTAGGGGGCCATCAGGGAAAGTGAAAGAGCGCCCGGGGAAGCCTCTCCAGGGGTGTTTTGTGTACGGGTGCTGTTGACTTGAGCAGTAGAAACAGGGCTAGAGTTGCATTTTGAGTTGCATGAGAGCTACAAAACCCCCATGAATTTTGCATTGTGCTGGAAAATGAACAGCTAGGATGTTAATGGCTGGTTTTGCAGAAATACTTTGTTTTACTATCCAATATGCAGAACTGTTAGTTGTGACTCATTTCAATTATGAACTCCAGAGACACGGGTTTTTGGGAGGGTTATTTTTTTTTAACTGGCTTTGTACAAACAATCAAAACGGTGATATGAAAGAAGGGCTTGAATGCTCCAGTTGTGATCATATTAGCACTGGTTAATTCAATTGCTGCAAGGACGTATAATTCTGAATGCTGGGTTTAAAATACCGGTAGAATATAGTTTAGATTATAATATAAACCTTACCTTGCCACCCCTGCTGAATCACATTTTGCTTGTGAATGGGTTAAGCTTTTAAGTTCTTCACTTGGTTTTAAATTGTGACTTTGATACAGAGGGTTGATATGACTGTGGTTTGAATAACATTTGATTTTGACCTGTTCCTGTGGGTTGCAATGGCATAAGAAATTTGACTCAGCAGTGCTGTAATTAGCCCTCCCTGTGTTTTTGAAACAGGATTGTGTTACCTGGATTGCATTAGTGTGGCTTCTATTGTTGCCGCTTCGCATCTGTCCCAGTAGGGTACTTAAAACCTTTTCTTGGCCAGGGTTAGTTCAAACAATTTAGGCCAAATAAGTATGTGCTTTATACAGTTAGTGGCTTTAGTGATGTTTCTGGTGACATTTATCCTTTCATTTTTTTTCCCTCCCTTTTTGGTTTGAAAAAGTAGAAAGCCTTCTACATGGAGTGTCTATACCTTTAAAAGGAGTACTTTAAAAATGGTTATAACTTAAAATGCCTGCACAAGTTGGAACATATGTTTAGTTGCACTGAATTGTCACTTCTGCATGCATAAAATCTTAAGCTATTATGGCAATTGATATGCAAAACCATATTTAGCTATTTTTATTTGCATGTGAGCTTGCAGAATTCATTTACCATTTGGGCTAAAGCACTCCCACACGTCTTGCAGCCTGATAAGCCTTATCTTTGGATTTAATCGAACTTGAACACAGAATTGCCACCTAAACGCTTAGCAGGTTTTATTTAGACAACTGCACTTGTATGGAAAATGCTGCCTGATGCTTACTCCTTGAAAGCCCTTCCCCCCCCACCCCATTTGGTTATTCAGAAAAGCTCTTTGTGGGATAGACCGAGCTCAGTCTTTGTGGCTACTGTGTGTGTAGTAGTTTGTATGGCAACTTAAAAGTTACATGTGTTTGAAATGATTGGATATAGGCACTATACCTTTTCATTGTCATAACATGTGTGATTTAAAATAAAAAGCACTAGGTGTATGTGAGGACAACCTAGAAAATGACTTTTATTGCTATCGAGTACACTCTTACAATACAAAGTGACCTAAAGAATTTTTGCTTAATATAGTGACCTGTCTTGTCTCTGGAAAAGAGGTACAAGTCTGTTATTCCTATAGACCAGAGGTTCCCAAACTTTTTCTTACTGCCTTGCCTGCCCCTTCCAGATTTACCAGCTGCCCTCGTACCCCTACTAGCATACGTTTTATATTTTAACCCCATAAATTCCAATTATTATTATAATGGAAATTAAATCTGCCATTACACCATTTCTCCCACGTATCCCCCAGAGATGTCTTGCATCCCCCCAAGGTACCACAGTCGGGGAACTCCTGCTATAGACCTGTGAGATCAAATAAGTTCCTTTAGAAAAACACTGCTTGCAGGTATGGGCATGTGGAAGTGTCCTTTTATAGAGCAGTCTATATAGTTTATCTCCAACTCGCTTACACGTGTGCAAATGAAGCTCTGATGACCAGGAGCTAATATTAAAAGGGTATTATTGCTACAAAACAAATGAACAACAGTTCACATTGGAAGTGAAGCCATCGGCTGTTGGGTAATCATAGTTAAAGTAAAGATGTAGCACCTCCTGTTATTAAATTAAATTCTAGATTGATTTAACATTCAAATTGTAACTCATATTTGAATTTAAAAGGTTTGCAATAAAATTCCTGTGCCAAAATTGAATAAATTGTAGTTTTATTACCACACTGGATATCCTGGTGTCCTAACCTTTTTCCTTACAGTTATCTTGGTTCAATAAATAAAACCTCATTAGACTATTCCCATTTCAACGAGTTTATTAAATTTTACAGGAGTAATTAGCATAAGCTGTGCTAATTTTTCTGGAAGACTAATGAGAGAGCTTCCTAATTAGGTTTGCTTTGTAAGAATCAGAAAAGATGATAATGACAAAAGTCACTTAGGGTGGAAAGTGGGGCTTTATATGATTTTGTGATGCAGGAAGGAGGCTTTTGTGCCTTGGCACTCTTTTACCACCCCTCCCCTTTTTTTAAAACCCAGTCGACCACTGTAGAAACAGATTTTTGATTGAGATATCTATGCTTGCCATATATTTCTGTACCTATTATGGACGGATCCATGAACCAGTAGCTGCTGGATGAGATGAACACAGATAGTCACAGCAAGCTCTACAACGGATCAGGCTGTCTCGGCAGACCTGTGCTCCACGAGCCCGGTGCGAGATGCTAGGGAAGCCGGATGGGGTTTGTGAGCATTTTGCTCTAATTTCTGGTGGACCCTAATGCTGTCCCCCTAATATATATATAATCAGTAAAATCAGCAAAGCCCGTTCACAGGCCACCACTGTCACATGCCCTAACTGTGCATCCTGGTAGAGGATATACATAAAAAGAGCCCCATTGAGGGAAATTTCAAGACTTCTTTAAATAAACCCCAAACCAACCAAAAACATAAATTAATGGGATTGATGCAGGGCATCTCCTTGGATGACATTCTCAACTCTGTGCTATATGAGAGGTCCCACTGGGAAGGGTAGTGGTAGTGGCCCTTTTTGACTGTAGTCTGTAAAACGTTGAGGCCCTTCACGTGCTGCTGTCCCATGCTGCTTTGGACCCTGTGTCAGAGGGATGCATCATATCTGAGTTGCTTGGATAGTCCACCAAGCCATGCTGTGGTCCATGGGATATGATCCTATTAAGCGGTGTCTTCCACTAATCTATCTATGCAGCACCCACTTACTATGGTACCTATGGAGCTGACTTGCCTGCGTGTGCATGTTGAAAGCTTTTAGCTTCCAACCTAAAAAGAAAAGCCTTCTATTTGTGAGTAGGATTGCATGGTGCAGTGACATGAAAGGAGGCATGAATGACTTTCAGGGCCTCTATTTTATTGCTTTATACATCATTGTGAAGTGGATTGTATTTTATGCTCCTGATCATCTTTTCATCCTAAATACCATTCAGGAGAAAAAGCAATGCAGAGCAGTGTGTTGCAGGAAAATGGTGCTATGCTTTCCCCAACATGCACTCTTCAGGCCTAGGGTGAATATGGCAATGAATGTATTATAATATGGCAATGAATAGGCAGTAGCCTTGTATGCCCAGGTATTTGAGGTACTGTCAAGCCAGGTAGTCTATGGAAAGTCCTCCTTCAACAAGGGGGAGAGGTGATGGCAGGGTTGGCATTTTGCTAGGGAGGAAGCCACCAGCAGCTGGCTGATGTCAAAGCAAAGCATCGGTCCTCAGAATAGGATGAA